AAGGCCTCTGACTGCGAAATGCAGGCCTGAGTTCTATTCTCAGCTGCAGAATGAAGCTGCTCCTTCAGCTGCAGAAGAAGTGGGCTGGCTGGGCAGGGCTGTTAGTGCTGCTGCTGCGAGGTGAGTGGAAAAGACACCACTTCCCCGAAAATAAGACCTGGTGCCTCTTTTGGAGGGAAAAAAAAATAAGACCGGGTCTTATTTTGGGAGAAACAGGGTAGCGGTGTTCCAATATTTGAGGGGCTGTCACTGAGAGGAGGGGTGTCAACCTATTTTCCAAAGCACCTGAAGGCCAGACAAGGAATAACAGATGGAAACTGATCAAGGAGAGATTCAACCTAGAAATAAGGAGAAATTTTCTGACAGTGAGAACAATCAGCCAATGGAACAGTTTGCCTTCAGATGTTGTGGGAGCTTCATAATTGGAAGCTTTCAAAAAGAGACTGGACTGCCATCTGTCAGAAATGGTGTAGGGTCTCCTGCTTGGGCGGGGGGTTGGATTAGATGACCTACAAGGTCCCTTCCAACTCTGTTAGTCTAATTATTCTAATACTTTCTTGTTTTACTGTGTAAGCAGTGGATTCCTGTCATTTGTTTTCTTTCCTCTGTAACATTTTAAAAGAATAATTAAGAAAACAGTTTGAATAATCATGAGTGCATTAACACGGGCCAGATAAAATCCTCTGTCGTCCACATTGCACATAAAAAAAAATACGTCTGCCATGTAATCAAAGCACATTGTTTCTGAACAAAACTCAATGAGTCTGCCAAATGTAACACCTTCCTTGCTATGTTAGTACTTTTCTAAGGTACTTTAAAACTACAGAAAATAATCATTTTGATTTGCTATTGATTTATATTGTTATAGAGCACACGGTTTTGCCAATAGAATAACCTCTCTTTGTTTCCATGTTCTTTTCCTTGAGAGTCAGTCACCTGTGCTAGGGCAAGGTACATTCTGCTTTATACTAAAATAAACCCTGGGAATCTAAGAACGCTTAGCTGCATCTGTCCCTGGCTGAAATGCAAATTGTGATTTATGCTGTGGCCAGGCCTGAAAGTAAATGATACTGCTTTTAATCAATAAATGTTCCTGCAACCTATAATCTGAACACTGTAAAAGAACAATTTAACATTTATTTCTTTGGGTTAAATAAATTGAACTAAGACTTGTGATTTCTCAGAGTTTGCAGTCATAAAATGACAGTCCTGCTCTTTTTAATATAAGTAACAAACAGCCGCTAGATCTTCAAAGTAGGTAGATGAAGCACGTGTGAGAAGAGAGGAGAAGAATGAAAATGTGCATGGGTGTGTTTGATTTTGTATGCCTCTGTTTGTGCTTATTTTATAGGGGAGCCCATTTGGTAAATCTTCTCCTTAGGCTTTGAGGTGTATAATTCAGTGATTATCATTCCTGTAATAACTTCAGTCATGTAATTGCCAGTCAGCACTGGAAAAGTCTCAACGTTTCAACACTACCCAGCTAAATTATACTTATCCATATTGCTAATCATTTGGGAGGGAACGGAATAAGCAGTATTATATGAAGAACAAAAAACAAATAAGTAATACCATGTAAAAAAGTAAGACATTAGGTAATAAAAAGAAGATGAATGAAGTATAGTTGAATAGAGATCACACTGACATGGTATGCGATGTCTCTCTATTCTTTTCTCTATATTCAATTCACTCTTCTTTCCTTTGTTTGTTATATTATATACTTTTGTTAGTTATATATTTCTACTTAGAAATTTAGATACTGTACATACAGATAGTTGAGGAAAACAAGCTTACTATACCAAGCATGATACTACTGTATAGTCACAGCTGAGATTTCATGGCCTATGTTAATTATGGTTTTTGCATTTCATAATTCTAAAAAAGTGAAGTTGCTTTCACGAATAGCAGAGAGGGGCTACATTTATCCTGGGTTTGAAGCATTCCTCTGAATCTTTTTTGATGCATGCACTGCTTTAATGTGCATTAACTGTTAAATAACAGATTTATTTTAGAAATGCATGCATGATAGTTTATTTAAAGTATATTATTTTTTCCTTATCTTTCCCCTATGCTAGTGTGTTGCAGTATGTTATTCTGATTTCTATCTTATTGTATTTTTTTTATCTGAAAGCATACATTGGCAATGATGTCATATTTTGGGCTCAGTATTGCTTAATCATGGACATGCTTTTCCATCTCCTTTTTTAAATTATCACAATATGCAATTTTAAAAAAAAGCTCTTCTTGAGCATAGCTCCCACTTACAGTCGGCTTTTTACTTTATTCATTTGTTTAGTGCTCATTCCATTTCATGGCTGGTTAACTAGTACAAAGGTAGCTGACCTTACTGTTAACTTCTGCTTTTAAGGGGCATCATTTCTCTTCATTATAGTTCTCAGTAATCATTTGTCCTTATCCCCAGAGGTTTTTCTCTGTAATTGCTTCTACTTTGATGTTCACACAATCAATAATTCTACCTCCTACGGTTAACACAAAGCGCAGCTCTGAAGTCTCGCATTGTATTACATGTGAATTATTTTATTGTCTTCTCTCCCCCTACAACAGGCATAATGCACTATGGATAAATTATTGATTGCTGACCGATGTCTTCAACATCTGGGGATTTTGACTGCCTATCTTTAGGAGAAAAATCCTTTGGCAATGAATGTCAGGGCATGTGGTATGAGCCACAGGACAACATGCACTCCTCACAGGCCTGGGATGGTAAATGTGCAGCAGTACCCGTCTATTAAACTGCATATAGAAGCTCCTTCTGTTTCTTCTAATAGTAGCACCCCGGGCCCTCCTATTGGAAACCTATTGACCCCCTCACATTTAAAGACATCTCTTGGAGGAGGTGTAGCTGATCAGAGCAATGCCGTTGACTGTAATATTCACTTTCCTGCTTTAAGTCCGAAGAGACAAATGGTTACAAATGGAAAGTCTTTATTCCACGTACCGCAGCCTCCAGGGGTAACAACTCCACAGTTTTTGAAGCCAAAGGAGCAAGAATTTGGAAATAAGTTTACCACAAGCACAGTAAAAGGTAGGAGTCATTTTAATAAACATGTTTCATTTTTGTTTTCTTACACACTTGGTATGATAAAGAAAGGTGTATGCTTCTATGCCAGTGATGGCGAACCTTTTAGAGATTGAGTGCCCAAACTGCAACCCAAAACCCACTTATTTATCACCGGGTGCCAGGTGGGCGTGGCCCACTGGGTGGGCGTGGTTGTGATGGTTATGGCAGACTGGGTGGATGTGGCCAAGATGGGCGTGGTCACGTCGATGTTGCTCATGGGAAGGGATGCCTGTGGGGGCCAGGCAGGGTTCGGGGAGATCCAGGGGGTCTCTGGCAGGTGGGGCGGTGGGCAGGAGGCTCGTCCTGCGGGGTGAGGCAAGGCAGGGCTGGGGTGCCATTGTCACAGGGCGAGGCAGGGGCCGGGGCAGCTGCTGCCTGACACCATCGGCCCCTGCACACAGAGGCCAGCGAGCGCATCGGGGCCAACAGTGTCTGTCAGCACCCACAGCCTGCCGGCCCCTCGACCAGCACACTCTGGGGCTCCGCAGCCTGCCACCAGAAGTTCAGAGAAGCTGCCTCTGAGATGGACAGATGGCCAACAGCTGAGGAGGCGATGCAGTGGGTCGTGCCTGGGAAAAGGAGAGGGATGGGACGGGGGGAGGGAAACAGCCGTGCTGGAATGCACCCGGCCACGTGCGACCTCGGCGAGTTAGCAGGCGGCTGGTTGAAGAGGGACGGTTGCTATGTCCCGGGCATGGTGCGCATGCCCACAGAGAGGGCTCCGAGTGCCGCCTCTGGCACGCGTGCCATAGGTTCACCACCACTGTTCTATGCTATCAGGACCTTTTAAACATTGCAAAGATGTTTTTCTGTAAGCAATGTAAACAATGCACAAGGAGAATTCTCAGCACCACATAATTCTACTTTCAGTAATATAAGTAAAGGTCAAAGTGATTCCAATGGTGGTAAGGAGCACTCAGGGTTGTGACTTCTAAGCTGGGAGAGTGGTTCCAAAAGATCCCAGGAACAACATCAGAGCTCTCTGTCGGGAAGAGTGCAGTGCTAGAAACAATTGAGAACCCTCAAACTCCCAGGCCTCAGGTAGAGGACCTGAGATTGAGGAAGACACAGACCATCCATAAGGGTGAGAAGAGAATTTATATTTATTAAGAGGGGCAATTATTTGTGGCCAAGAGTTGCACTTTGTATTATTACTATTTAGTTGCCTGCAGCAACCGGCTGTGTAACTAGCAAATTAATAATGTCAACAGGGTGATTTGAGTTAACATTTTGGATCCATTTGAGAGATTTGCCGGTTCATATTTGAGGGAATTTAGGAATTTTTAAAGCTCCTTCAAAACAAAAATGATAATTATTGGGGGAAATCAGTAGTTTTGCTAAGGTAAAATAGACGTTTCAAGGTTCTGCAAAGTGACTCTGAATGGTCAATGAAGTTCAGGCCAAGTGTCAGATTAGCTATCTTGGTCTTGATATACCACCATATTAATATTGATTCACCTTCATTGGTTTTGTATCGGTGTTATTACTCACTTTCCTTGATGTATTGGTTTAAAGTAACATCTTTTGATTTATAGTTCACAGACTTAGAAGGAACCATCTAGGTCAGTGAGTTCAAACCCCTACTCATTGCAGGTTCTTATGGGTCTAGTTTGTTAACTTTATCTTGCACAAGTGTCTTGGCAGGATAGAAAAGGAAACTATTTTCTGTCTTGATTACTAAGCAAGTAGCTTCCTTACTTTGTTCTTTTTTGGATTTTGGTAAAAGCCTAATATACATGTGTTAAACTCACATGCCAAAAGTGTTTTATCTATTCAGTCTTAGATTGGGTCTAGGATAACTCAGTGCGGCCAGCTTGGTGTGGCCAGCTTAGTGCCACCAGCTTGCCACTGCCAAGATACTTGTACCAACTCACTGCTGCCAAGTCACTGCAGGAGAACTCCACACAGCCAACTCACCATGGGGACAACTTGCGAGCAGCTGGAGGGAGAGCCACGTGGGCAGGCGAGTGAGCGGGTGGGCAGAGTGCAGAGTGGCAGCAGTGGCCTCATCCCATTTTTCACATCTGCTGCTGCCATCATCTTCAGACTCTTCAGCCTAGAGCTCAACATGGTGGTAGCAGCAGTGGAGTATGTGAAAATGGGATGCCTCCAATTGCCACCGCTTCCCCCGCCACCTGCCCCACCCACTGCCAAGGCTACCACCATCCCCGGCCTTTTTGGCCTGGAGCTAGGCAGCAGTGGTGACAATGGCAGGGGGTGTGAAAATGGGAAGCCCCCAGCTGTCACCACTGCTCTGTACTCAGCCTACTCACTTGTTCGTCCATCCTGCTATCCCTCCAGTTGTCCTCGCAGTGAGTTGGCAGTGTGAAGTTGTCCTGTGGCAACTTGGCTGTGGTGAGTTGGCAGAGACAACTTTGGGGTGATGAGCTGGTGGCAGTGACCTGGCTGTGCTGAGCTGGCCACACTTGAATTGTCTCATTTTGATTAGGATTGTTCGGTTCTACACTTGTTTTAATGTCACTTAAGTATTAGTTTCAACACTTGTTTATATGTAATAATGCATTAAAATATCCCTTATCCATACATTAGCTTCTCGTATCTATATTTTTGTGACCCTTTTAGCTTCTGAATATAAACATCCCAATAAGCCTACAACATACTATTGTAGTAGACTTGTAGTCAACAAAAATATATCATGAACAGTTATAAATATATTTTAGTTTGCACATTCACTCAATATATTACTATCAAAGTTTCATTACTTGTAGAAGCTGTAGAATTGAATGGTTGATAAAATGGGCATGAAATTAATTTTAAGTGAGAATGACCTTTTTAATTCTGGTTCATTAATCCCCATTCAATTTTGAAGAAGTTGAAAATACTAACAATTTTATATATCACATAGACATTTATACCTGACTGATCACAATTATGTGTTCAGGTTCTATTTAACTGATTCTTATGAACCTAATCAAAGAGTTGTGTGGAAAAAAAATAAGTGACCCTCATATAAGCCTTCTTGAGCTCTTAGAGGAAAAGTAGGATAGAAATCTAACAAATTGAATAACAAATGACTAAATTAAAATGGTTGAGGAGGATTGTTGTAATTCTAAAATACTGCCTGCATAATGTTGCAAATCAAGGATCATTATTCCTGGTCTCAGTATAGGGAAGTAGCAGAAGGTTGAGTGAAATGGAGAATATATCCTGCTTCTAAAATGTAGAATTGTTTTCTTTATAAAGGGATATTTTCCTCAGTTGATTAAAATTGCTGCCTATTAAAAATATCAAAACCACATCGCCAGAACATACTTAGTCCAAGTGGCAATTATTTTCTGACATACTCAACAGCTCATGTGGCCATTTGCAATTAACCACAGCACAGATATATTTTTGAAATATATTTGTTTTCCCTGTTGTAGTCCCATAATAATGCTTTTGTCTTGTCCCCATCATATGCAGCATAAGTTATCTTTAATTATAATAGTGGTTAGTATATTTGGCTTATTTTAACACCGTCGAAGTGTAGTTTATAATATATAATATATATTATTTCAGAATTTTTCTTCCTGCTACGATAGAGATTGGAAAGCTGGCTAGCATTGCCTATTCTGAAAGCATTCTTCCCCTTTCCCACTTAAGTAATCTTTGTAAACTTTGGTATTCATAGCCACTGTACTTTTAATACAAATCAAGAATATACTGGGCAAAGTTAACTCCTCCTCCTCCTCCATGGCAAAAGGGGAGATTTTTAAAAACTATTGATAACAGTGAATTAAGGGCCTTTTAGATTTTTTTAAAAAAGTCCTGTTTGTTCTGTAAGAAAATATATAGAAATAAACAAAGATTTTTGTTGTCCAAGTCAAGGCAACTTATTTTGGGGACAATTCAAACATGTAATTGTGTTTGGAGATGTACTTATTTTGGGCTTCCTATGTGTATTTTTGATTTGAGGACTATAGTCTTGACTACAATCCTAGCAGTAACTTCTTGTAATCTATTATTGGTGGGAATTTGGAACAGATAATGAGAAGGTTTTTTTTCCTTCTTCACACTTCAGTTGAGATGGACAAGCCTGAACAGGAACAATTGTACAGCTTTGGTTAATATTATATTACCCATTGCATGTTAAATCCTGATTGTGCAATGATTGTGTATGATGAACTATAAATATGTTTCACCAAACTCAAGGTGTGCATATAAATTCATATTTTTCAGTACAATTAAAATAACGTGGGATATTACTTCAAACAAGATTTTTGCATTTTTCCTGGTTAATATTGAACAACTCTATTAGATGCATGGATCCCAATATTATTACAAGTTCTAGTCTTATACTAGCAGTTGGTGCATTGTTGTTCAAATAATATCATTATTTTTTGTAATCATTATAATCTAAGCTAAGAGTGGGAAACCATTTTTTCTTCTTATTTCCCTTTTTAAATAGCGATTAATTAGGACTACATTCTAATAGTCAGGAGAGCCAAAATTGGGCACCAGCACTCATTTCTATAGAAGAGCCAAGCAAAGCCAGCTTAGGACTGAAAAAGGAGTCTTATATACTTTATAGTAAAGGTCAGCAATTCCTTGCCGTCTAGTTGCATATGCCCAATACTTCATTTGTGCTCACAGTATCTTTAACCCTCCCTCTTGCTTGACTGACAGGTCAAAGTCTTTTGGACTGTTGTTGCTTTATCATGATTTTCTCTTTCTATGTGAAATGAGGGGCAAAATTGTGCTCCTCAAAGTCTAGAAAAAAAATTAAAATGTACAGAATGAAAAGAAGTTGATATTACTCTGTCTAGTGATGTCACATGACCCTCAGGTAAAAAGATTGCCTACTTTGTTCTATATATTACAGAACTTTAATTTTATTTCTATGTAAACCCTGTCTTTCCATAAATCCTGTCTTTCTTCTCATTAATGCTTTAAAGTGCATGTTCTAGAAATGTGTAATAATTACAGCATTCCCTGGTAAGAGGTTTCTTTCAGCTCAGAATATGAATCATATGTAGAATTACTTTATTGCTGGTGGTGTTTTAGGCTTTTGATAATTTGTTATGAGCAAATGGATGGTGAAATGAGTGGAGATATGGAGAACTTTCCAGAGAAGGTCCTTCACTACTACAGGAGGCCATTGATGCATGCTGCCCCAGAATTTGTTCCTGGGAATATCACTCTCCCTAGCAAAATACTCTTTTGCACTCTTCTTGGCATGCTGATTGTTTTCTTTTTCCACATGGATCCCTAATTTATAAACCTGTTGCTTGTTTGGTCAACATTCTGCTTGCTCAAAGATTGAGTGTAAAACTACTCTTATCTTTTTAATTATATTCCCCCAGCACCTTTTGTGTCAATTGCATGCACTAAAAACCATTGTTTCTAATTTATTTTTAGGCTGTTAAAAAAAAGCCTGCAGTACAGCCAGATTAATTGTAATTAGTATTACTTTTGTCAGACAGAAAAAACCAGACCCACACTTGGAGAGTTTAGGTGGCTGTTTTATTGCTAAAACCTATACATAGGAATCTTCTCAAACTGATGGTTTGTACCTGGGTGACAGTAGATAAGGCTCAATGGCATTCAAGGGAGTGTTGCCTCTTGTGCTCAGGTAGGGAATCCAGGCTAATTCCCCATTTAACTCCTCCCTCTGGCTCGGCCAGTCTCTCCTACAACTTATGTGTTAACATCAATACAAATTGACATGTAATTTCCATTAACTTCCCTGAAATGTCCATGTCTTAGTCAATTGTCAACTTCTTATCAGGGAAGTGCATAAGGTCATGAGATGTATGAAAGGCTATCATGGAGTACTTGAGGAGGATTGAATATTCCTTCCCCATCTGCATTCTTTAAGAATTCCAAAGTATTGTGTTGATGGTTGGCAGCAATAGAAGAAGCTTCGTTAGCAGAGGAAATTTTTAACAAAGATTTCAATTTCTACATTAATTTTCGCCTTGCCAGTTCTGTTGCTTAAAAATAAAGTATGTATTAGATTTACAAATCAAATTAATATATTTCCCGTTATTACTTACATTTTCTCCTGGATGTCAACAACCGTGAGAATCTTAGCTGAGGTTTTTATATAGTCTTATTGTGTTAGAAATAGTGTTCCATGGTTTGGCTGGGGTAGGTGGTAAGATGGTAAGATGGTAATAAGTCATACATTCCTGACAAGCTAGAAAAGCATGCAGTGTGACAGTTTCTTAGAGCAGATTTTTCTGTTCATTGTGAATAAAGTACTTAATGTAATGCTATTGTTCTATGAACTTGAAGTTCTAGTACTCAGAACTAATTTAGTATTGGTTTGGAGACCATTCTTTTGGCAATTATCCCAAATTATTTTGAATAGCAGGCTAAAAGCATAACACCAGGTTGTATGGTGTAAGTCAACCTGACCACCTGTAACATTTTCACTGCATTATATTAGGGTAGACCTTTGTAACCCAACCTGCAACTAATTTACTTGCAGTCCAGTGGACCAGTCACGTTCAAATACAAGAGACCAATCAATCCCTGTTCACTTGTCTATGAGCTTCCAAGAGGCACACCACAAAGCAGCTCGCTCTGCCTCAAAAGATGACAGCCCCAGGCGCTGATGAAATGTGTGGACAACAGAAAACTACACCATGGCCATTCAGTCTGAAAGCTCATTACTGCTTTATTTTTACAGCAGTTTCAAACGTCAGAAGAAGACTTTACTGTAGGGATATTCTTCACATAACTTACATGGTAATCCTCATGTAAACAATATCTGCCATCAACTGGAAAATATTTTTGTAGCTTCACATGAAGTAAATTTAATTTAAAAAATTCTACCAGTTTTGAAAGGCAATTGTTATAACCATTGTGCTAATAAATGATACCAACTGCATGCAAGGCAATTGTTATAACCATTGTGCTAATAAATGATACCAACTGCTATGTAACAAAATCTGCAGGATATGCTACTTAGGAAAAGCAAAGAAAATGCAATGTTTATTTTAAAACTGATTTGTTGTGTTGATTTAAAGCTGTACATATACATTTAGTGCAGCTGTGTACGTATGCATACACATATGCGTATTTCTCAGAAGGAGAGCAATTGGCATTTGCATTCTTGGAAAACAAAGATGGAAGAGCACAGC